CAGATTCAACTGATGGATTTTAATGTTTGCTACTCATTTAAATTTGTGAATAAAACCCTTGGACTGATTCTATGTAATATATAGAGCTCACCATAAGTGTTTAAACACGTTTCATGAATGATTCAGATTAAGTGAAAAACTGATGGTGTCCACTGGGTGGCACCCATATACTAGATGCAAGGACAAGTCTGAAGGACCAGCTGGTTAAGGGTGATCAGCACAGTTTGCTGAATTGGAAGCTGTCTTCTTTACCAGGAGTTGGCTGACAGCCTTTGTGCCAATCTGTCTGAAGCTTGATTTTGTTCTTTTAGTTTGATATTTTTATTTTTAAAAAAGTCCAATATAGAGTGGTCAGCCCTGAAACTACCCCCCCCACCCCCCCCCACACACAAACACAGAGAACAAAAACAGACTCAGAAGGTTGTATTTATATATTCTGTGTGTATTATATATAATTTCTATATATCTAACAGTAATAATCAGAAAAAGAGACTATCAACTTGAGAGTAGGATGGAGACATTGGAGGGGTTAAAGAGGGAGTGTTTAGTATGGGTTAAGGGGAAAATAATGTAATTCTGTTTCAATTAAAAATATATTTTTAAAAGGTGTCAGGTTGGGAGGGATGGAAGAATATGCACTAATATGTCTGTCCTTTTCAGAAGAAAATGTTTGTCAACTCCTGCCTTAGACAATATCCCCAAGGATTTCAGTATATTATATTCTCTTTTAATTAGGACTATGGATAATAACCTTACTAAAGTGAGAATAGCAGATTTACAAACACAACCTTGTACAAGGCTGCAGCTATGAAGATGTAGGACCTGCTACTAAGAAGTTCTAAGCTAACCATATTGATGCCTAGAGATTGTCTTCTGATGAGACTGACTAGAATCTAGTTACTAATCAAACTTATATTGCTATGATTATCATTATAATAAAAGTTTGCATTGAAGAACAAAAGTTCAACAGAAGTGCTAATGGTATATACATTTGAGATAAAGTATTACAAAGAAGGTAACCCAGTATTTTGAAGATACGTTATTTTTGAAGAAAAACGGGAGCTAGGCAGTGGTGGTGCACGCCTTTAGTTCCAGCACTCAAGAGGCAGAGACGGGGATATCTGAGTTCTGAGTTCGAGGCCAGCCTGGTCTACAGAGTAAGTTCCAGAGCAGCCAGGGCTACATAGAGAAACCCTGTCTTGAATAGCCAAAGAAGAAAAACAGTAAGGAAACATGTATTAATTGGGTGTCATGAATCTGTTGAGTTTTTAAAAAAATGTATATAATAATACTACTTAATAGTTTATTTTTTGGTTATAGGTAGTTAATGAAAATGAAAGCATGTATTTGCTTTTTTTTAAAAAGTCATATCCCAAGGCTAAATTTCAAATTTTGTGTTAATATGTGGGCTTAGTGATAGGCAGTTCAATTTGATGTACTTGTAATTAAATTTGACTTGTATATTAGAGATATTAGTGTTTTGGAAGATTAATAACTTACAGTGTAGGTTAAAAAATTGGAATCTCACAAATTAAGGAAACAGTGTAGTTACCAGTTAGATTTTAATTTTTGAAAACCAGAGCTATGCTTTATTAGAAATACCCATATGTCAATGTTGAAGTCAGTATGATCTGTATTTTACATAGAATCTTCTTTATAGGAATAGGGAGCATATTAATCTTACCTTAAATGTGTTTTATTCTAATGAATACTCAGGGAACCCCCACTGAACAAAATAAATAGAATATTATAAATACTTACCTTTACCAGTTAACTTTGTCAACTTTACACAACCTAGAATCTCTTGGGAAATGAATGACAATGTGAGGGATTGTCTATAGTTTGCCTACATTGGTTTGGCCTGTGGGCACATCTGCTACAGATTGTCTGAAGTTAACGGATGGAAGAAGACCCAGTCCACTGTGAGTGGCACCATTCCCAATCAAGGGGTATTGAACTCTGTAAGAGTGGAGAAACTGAACTGAGCACAAGTGACACATACATCCAGTCTCTTTGCCTTTTACTGTAGATGTGAGTATAACTAGTTATTTCAAGGTCTTGCCCCTTTGACTCGCTGCTGTGATGGACTGTAACCTGGAACTGTAAACTAAAACAAACCCTTTTGCCCTTAAGTTGCTTTTTGTTAGAATATTTCATCATAGCAGAAATGAAATTAGAATATCATTCATCATACTATCCTTTCTTCCAAAGTTGGTGTTTTTCTTTTTCATTCTTATTTATTATACTTTTGTACTTTAATTTATAATAAATGTAGTCTTACTTTGCCTTTTAAATTTAAACACTAAATGGACTCATCAGGTTGTATTTATATATTTATGCATTTATATTTATGTAACAGTAACGGTTAAAGAAAAAGAGGCCAGGGATTTGAAAGGCAGCTGAGGAAAAAGGGACATGGAAGGAATTGGAGGAAGAAAAGGGGATGGAATGGAGGTAAATGATGTAATTATATTGTAGCTTCTTAAAAAAGAAAAGAAGTAAGATATATATTATGTGTTTGAATTATTTTGTACAAAAGCCTGTTTCTATCAACATTATTTATGTGACTCATCCACATTGATAGGTCTAATTCTTCATTTAAACTCCCAACAGATATTTAATTGCATTAGTATTTATTTGTTTGATTTTTTTTTTTTAAATATAGGTTTTACTATATACCTTAGGCTGGCCTGATACTTGTTGTATATATAACATCAGATGGCCTTGAGTTCCAGTCCTCCTCCTTCCTGCTTCTTTCTCTTGGGTACTAGAATTTCATATGCCACTACAGCCTGCCTTCAGAATAATTAAGGCCAGGCGGTGGTGGCACACGCCTTTAATTCCAGCACTCAGGAGGCAGAGGCAGGTGTATCTCTGTGAATTTGAGGCCAGCCTGGTCTACAGAGCGAGATCCAGGAAAGGCGCAAAACTACACAGAAAGAAACCCTGTCTCGAAAAACAAAAAAAAAAAAAGAATAATTAATTAATTATAATATTGGTAGTCCTAATTTTGCACTATTATAAACGATTCTTCAAAAAGTTATGCCTATGTGAAAAATTTCCTTGGGATATGTATTTATGTATACAGTTGTTGGTGAACAAACTTTTATTCTCCATTTTACTAGCTTTGTAACATTATTCTCCAAAGTAGTTATGTCCTCAACAGCATTGCACTGAAGTTTGACTGAGACTTAGTACATTGGAATTAAAGTATTAACTATGTGATAACTGTCATTTGTGCATTTGCTAAGATTTTGATAGCTAAATTTTTTAAAAAGAAGCTCAAGTTCTTTGTGCAGTCTTTTTCTGTTTTTCTCTAGAGGTAATGTGCTCCTAATTATTGATATTTTTCCTATTTGTTTATAGTTTTATTGTAAGATCCCCTATAATTGCCTTTGATATACCTTCTTCTAATAAAATGCTCATTTGGTTAAATTTATCTTGTGCTGAGCAACTAAATTAAAATGGAATGTTTTCATTATTATCTGGCTTTGCTCTAAAGATGTGATTTTCCCCTAGTTCGAGGACAAAGTTTTTCTGTGTGATACACGTTAAATCTCTGACTGCTTACTCTCTCACTGTATCAGTCTTCTATTATCACCTAGATACCAGACTTCCAGGGGAAAAACTTTGTCTTGAAAAACCAATAACAATAATAATTATTGTTATTATTTAAGTTCCCCAAATAACTAAACTGAAAACCTCTCTGACCATATTTCTACTAACTCTCACTTCTATATTTCTTAGATCATTTTTTGTTTGTTTGGTTTTGGTTTTTCCAGACAGGGTTTCTCTGTGTAGTTTTGGTGCCTGTCCTGGATCTCGATCTGTAGACCAGACTGTCCTCGAACTCACAAAGATCTGCCTGTCTCTGACTCCCGAGTGCTGGGATTAAAGGTGTGCGCCACTGCAGCCTAGCTTCAGAAGTTTAATTCTTCTTTAAAGTATTGTTTTCTCTTCCATTCTCTCCTGTTTATTTGTATCACTGTTGATTCCTATATAACTTATGTTCTGTTCTTTTTTATTTCAGACATTTGTCAGCTGATTTTTTTAAGTTCAGTAATCTTAGATTTTGCTATATGGAGTTGGATATGAAACCTGCCCGTTTCTTAATTTCATATTATACATATAATTTCTAAAATTATTTAATTTTCTTTGGTAGATTTTAATTCTTTGTTTACATTTCCTTTTTAGGCTACTGTTAAGGATTTTTCTTTGCCTCATGTTAGTTTTCTTAAATTTTTTAAACTCTGTATTATCTGTAGTGTTTTGTATTCTTTTTTATCTTGATCATTGTTTATACTTTGTGCTCTATCTCATACCTGTAACTTATTGTTTACAAGTATTTCCCATGGGGTGGAACAGTAAACATGGATATAAAATTTCTTTTTCTTTAATTCTAAATTAATATGAGAGAGGAGCCATTTGTCCTCCAAAACTCTGCTGTTTTGAACTGGACTGGCTTCTTGTCTGTCCTGCTGGCTTGCAAATACCAAGAGCTGTGGTGATTTTCTTTTTCCCAAATAATCTCTTTTGATCCTTAGTCTAATGGCAAATATTCCCAGAAATCAAAACAGTCAGCACACTGAAATTATCTAAGAAGCTATTACCATTCCACTACTTTAGTTTATACTTTTATTTGATCTCTGCTGTTTATCTCTTTTATTTTGGGTGTGTGGGATCAGGAACTTGCCGCTATGTATTACTAAATTAATCTTCTAGAAGTAAAAAGAAAATTTCCACATTTTAATTGCTTTATATATTGCATTTATATAAGGTTAGTGTGTTTTAATTAGCCACTTGTCATTGAAATGTTGGCTTTGTTGTTAACCATTAACATTTTTTCCTCAATTTACCAGGGGGGGAAAAACGGCAATGCTGATATTTAGAAAAGAAATAGAAAGGATAAATTTCATTTAAAAATTACTTTTGGGCACTACGAACTATAGTGAAATATAAACAAAAATTAATTTTCTTTTCTTCCCCTTTTTCTTGTTTAGTGAGTGATAGCTGCTTCAGAAATCTTGCAGAAGACCGCAGTGGGATAAATCTTAAAGATCTTGTCCAAGATCCTTCATTGTGAGTATTTGTTTTTATCACTAAGTATAATTTAAAACTTTATTTTTACATTAACTTAAAAATAGTTTTAACAGTTAATTTTAAACTTTTTTTCTGAGAATTTGTTACATTTAGTTAAGTCTGACAGAAGTTTCTTTTTATAAAAGGGAAAACCATTAGAAGAGGTGGTTGTTACCATGAAAGATTGACTTCATTAGCACTAGTAGCTGGTGACAGCAGTGTGGCAGTAGATAGTGGTCAAAGGAATTACTTTCTTTTGGGGGGGGCTTCTTTTTTGTTTTTGTTTTTGTTTTTTGTTGTTATTTTGTTTTGTTTGAGACAGGGTTTCTCTGTGTAGCTTTGGTGCCTGTCCTGGAACTCACTGTAGACCAGGCTGGCCTCGAACTCACAGAGATCCACCTGGCTCTGCCTCCCGACTGCTGGGATTAAAGGTGTGCGCCGCCACCACCTGACAAATTACTTTCTAATTGATTTGTTTGGGGAGATGAGAATAAATTTGCTTACATCAATTTTAAGTTTCTTTGAAAAATCTTATTTGCAATAATTACTCTTAAAATTAGAAATATAAAGCATTTGTAATAACTACATATACTTAACTGTATTAGACCATATTTAATGTTCCATATCAGAAAACTGCACACCTTAGAAAGTTTGGAGTTTTGTAGCTTTCAGTATTTTTTATTTTTTTGTTTGTTGAGACATCGTCTCAGCCCAGCCTGGCTTAGAACTCAGCCTTGGCTGGCCTATAAGTCGTGATCCTCCTGCCTCTGCCCCCCAGTGTCATGGATCACTAGCATGTGCTACCATATTCCTCCTTGTTCTTTAAATTGTTTCTTTTGTTGTTTGCTCCTCAGGTCAATTCCATTCCTTATAAGCATATATTCTAGTATATTATTACTATTTAATAGTTTCCTCAAGTTTTTAAATTTTATATTTATTGAAAAATAAGTTCAAAAAGGCAGACCCCAGAGACTATTTCATACTATAAATCTATGTGATAGATTATCAAGACATATATAATATGTGTCCCACAATTTTACATCCATTTCACTATTAACAAATTAGTGGAATGCAATGAACTGGATAAGCTATTATTTGAACGTGATCAAGGAGGATTGCCATAGTAGAAAAGAAATATGAAAAAGTCACAAATCGTGTAGGATAATTTTGTCTTTTTACTAACTTGTAATAATGGAAGCCAAATTTGACTTGTGTCAAAATTGAGATGAGGGGAGATATAATAATCTTTTTTTTTCCCCTGGGTGATTTTTGTCTATCTCTATCTTGTACATGTTAAGTACAAAACCAAGTAGACTTTGACAGCTCATTTTAACTGGCTAATGTGGCTGTTTGAGTTGCCAATTTGTATGCATACTAAATTTTGAAATAAATAACCCTTTAATAGCTTATTTTCTATTTCTGATAAAAATTAAAAGGTTGTATCCTCTGCATGTGTATAGTATGGCAATTTCAGTTATATTATAAGACCTTCTTTGTTTTGTATCTCAATGTAGCGAAAAGTCTTAAGTTATATCTGTATTAATAACAAATCTGTATGTACATAATTTTCAATCATATAAGAAATTATTCTTCTCATGATATAATTTAAGCTTTTTTCTCTTTAAGTAGAGTAATGCATGTTGTTTAAGTTACAAAAATTAAACTGTTTCTTCCCAAGAGATGGCTATGATATAAGTATTAAAGTTATAGTCAGTTGCATTCTTTTTTGTTTTGTTTTGTTTTGTTTTGTTTGAGACAAGATATGTAACAGTCCTGGCTGTCCTGGAATTCACTCTGTAGATCAGGCTGACCTCATAATAACAGAGATTCGCCTGCCTCTGTCTCCCGAGTACTGGGATTAAAGGTGTGTACCACCACTGCCCAGCCAGCTGCATTCTTTATAGAGCTTAATTCTGTTTACTTTCAAAACAGTTTTAAGTGTGTGCTATTGGTGAGACAAAAAGTCACCACATTTGTGTTTTGAATTTTTTTATAAATCCTCAAAAACATTTACTTGTTTGTTTGTTTCTAGCTTATGAGGTTTTGCCTGCGTGTATGTCTGTGCACCATGTGTGTACAGTACCTGCAGAGGTCAGAAAAGGGTGTCATATGCAATGGTACTGAAGTTACAGATGGTTGTGAGCCACCGTGTTTTAGAGCTGCCAGTGCTCTTAACTGCTGAGCCGTCTCTTCAGCCCCATGTTGTAGATTTCTTATTGCTTATTTCTATCTAGCTAGATTATTTGAAATTAGACTCAATTACAAATGTTAAAAGCTGTTTAAGACTCAAAAGACCTATAGAAAAGTGTTGGTACTATTCACTCTGCTGTTGTTTGAGTGTTGGGTGTGGCATTTGTGGTGAGGTTCATTTAATTTCCAAGTATTTTCAAAAACTCATTACTTACTCTACCAGATATTTGTTGTTTAACACTAAGAAAGAATTGCTCAAATGATGGGAGAATTACCTCAGTTAGATATATCCCCAGGAGTGGAATTGCTGGATTACATTGTATTCTGTTTTAACTTTTGAAGACACAATACTGTTTCTAGAGCAGCTGTATTATTTTACATTTTCACTAGCAATATATGCTAGTCTCCCCAATATGGATGTCACCCCACACAGAGACAAGATTAAAAACCAAAAGCAGCTTAGCTTCCATCTTTGCCAACACTTATGATTTTGTGTTTGATAGTTACTATCCTTCTTAGTATGCAGTAATTATCCAACAGCTTGAGGAGTTTCCTGATATTTGAATTAAAGTTCACTAATTCTTCACGTCTTGTCTTCAGTATTGACTTTAAAATGATTCTGCTAGAAATTGTGTTTAAAGTGTCTACTATTTTTGACTACTATAACTGTGATACTCAAAACACAGTATAAGACCATCTTAGCTAACTCATAAATTCTCTTTATTGTCATTACCAAGATTAAAATACAAATAAAGTCATAGTAATTTTGTAACCATGCATTTTAATAAATTCATTTTTCCTTGTTTTGTATAATGCTCCTTATATTCCTCACATAAAAAGATTTATACTTGTAAAGATTATAATTCAAATATAGATACCAGCTTGGGATGATTAAAAACCAAGCAACATCATGCTAATAGAAATATATTTGATGTTGTAGATCATTAGTGATCAAGAAACAACATCCTATTAATGGATGTATACTTTGATATATAAATCACAAGTGATTAGTAATGAAAAGTTTATGTTTAAGAACAAAAGTTAGCCAATATAGTTGTATCTGTATATACATTTCTTAAACATGAAAAATGGTATTTGCTTATATGTTCACAACTTTTACTAGTTGGGGTGGAAAGTTTGTTCTTTTGGTATTTCTAGAGCACTGCCTTATTCCCCCAGTATACTTGTCATCACACGGTAGCTTCACTGATTAATGATATTTTGGTCCCTTGGATCATGACATTAAATACGAAGGAAAGACAGGATTGCTGTCTGGAAAGCAATCATTTCTAAATATAGACTGTGCTTATCTGCTGGTGTTAAGAGAGGTTGCTATGGTGAAATGAATTTCTTAAAAATTCCAGTCAACAGAATGTAAACAGTGGCTTCTGAAGTGGTTATTTCCTATAAAGCTGGACATTTTCATAAAGGTTAAAATGTAGTTAACATCTTTAATGGATTATTTATAAAATTTCAATTTTAGAGCATCTTTGAAGTCTTTATTATATAAAATAGGAGAGTTTTTGTTTTCACTGTAGACAAATTTAATTTAGTATTAATCTTGATTTTTTTCTAGCAGCAGCATTAAATATCACTGAGTTTTCACTTTGCTACCATGATTTTGCTAATTCTAAAAAACCTTTTAGAGCTTTCTTATAAGTAACACCTCTAACTGTAAGATCTCATCAGTGTCACTTACTTTTCCCCCTGCTTGATGGATAACATGCTGATCTATAGTGTGTATATTGTAATGATATAGTCTAATATGACATTCCACAGTTGGTGCCACAGTATGCTAAAGTTACAAACCCCAAAACATAATTGGGCTTTTTTAAAAGACATCTTTTTTCCCCTCTCCATTCCTGAGATTAAATAGCTAACTTTTCATTAGGTATTCTTTTAGAATTCAGCCCAAAAGCATTAGGTGATGCTTAAATTCTTTAGTAACTAGGTTTAGCAGACATACCTCCTCTGTGAACAAGAAACATACCATCAAAGATGTATAATATCTTAGGTTTTTAGCATAAATCATGTAAATAGGTGAAACAATTAGCAAATAGGGATGTGAAACAAGAAAGTGGTTTAGTAAGCTCCTCCTGCAACCATCTCTTCACAGACAGGACAAGTAGCACCTGTTTACGAATTTAACAAAATTCACAGGAGCTAAGGACATCAGGTGAGAGAGCATCGTGCTTAGTTTTAGTGTAACAATTCAAAGAGACTGAAGATAGCAAGAGTGAGTGAGTTGCCTCTGTCACTTCTTTCCCCAACAATAAACAGTCCAACAAGGAGAGATAAGTCTTCTGCATGGGGGAGGGGGCGGAGAAAATTAAGTTCAGATCTTAGACTTGAAACACAATTCAATCAAGGCCTTGTTACATTGAAACCTGCTGTTTAGCAAAGACCCATGAATTTTATTGACAGGCAAATACTTGTGGACTAAGCTACTTGATCTGTGAGTGAGCTGATGGCTGATTGTAGTCCTTACCCCCTCCCCCAAGCTTCAGAGGTAGACTGTAGAACAAAACTTCAATTACCCATGATCAGGGCACAAAAGCAAGTATAGGGCTTTGTCTTAGGCCCTGACAGAGGAGAGGGATCAGTGGGGGAAAAAACTGGCTACTCAAACATGAAGACCAGAGTTAGGATCTCCAGCACCTGCATTAAAAAAGAGGTGGGATTGTAGCCATGCTGTAATCCCACTGCTTGAAGAGACAGGGAATCCTGGGGCAGGCTCACTGGCTAACCTAACCAAATTAATAGATGTTGGGTTCATCAATAAACCCTGCCTCAGTAAATAAAATAGAGAG